ATATCTCTAAAGTTGCATTGTCTACCCTATGCTGACATAGTTTACTACAGGAGTAGGTGGTAAGAATATACATGTAATTACCTAACAAGACTTTATTTTCTTATGTGGTGTAGCCACGGTCAACTGGAGCCAGCTGGTAACAATATATCTGTGAGCGCTTGACCATGGCATTACGACAGGAAAAAGGGAATGGTGAGATAATAATCTTGTTCAACAAAAGTTGACTTTTGATTACGTCTTAGTTGGTGGTAAAACATTCAGCTGCCGGGATGGGAATACTTATCTGCACTTGACCAAGGGATTATGATTATGATTATGATTATGTACCATTGCTGATTATGAAAAAAAACATACACAAAATTATTAAGTGTACCATTGCAAATCAAAAGTGCAATATTTTGTACTTGGGTTCACCTCCCTCGAAACGAAGCACCCGGGATACCGAACCCAGTCAGAGCGGGTGGGTGTGCACTCAAATGTAACGAAGGCCTTTCATTGGCTGGTTCATTTGCCGTTGCCCTCACGGCTCAAATCTGTGTGGGTATATAGAGATGTTGGGTTTTGTAAATACATGCTCATTTTTTGTGTATAACAAGTCATGTGTACAAGTATCACATCTGCCTGGGGTTATAGATAAAACTGCACCACAGCTGAACGGCACCAAATTTGTTTGGCGAAAACGGCACCATATTGGTGAAAACGGCTACTGATTTCTGGGCTAAAACGGCACCATATATAAAACAAAGTATGACGTTGACTTATGTTTTATTTCATATCATTATATTATAAAGCAAGATTATATCAACATATGAGTCGTTCTCAAAATCCGTGCATATTTATGTCAGATGTTTGTATCCGACAAACTTAAGCCTTAAACTTATCCCAGTATCTTCTACACTTTACAGTAACACAATTAGGCAAAATATAGTTTTATATTTACTTAACACCACCCAATTTTACTCAATGTTCATGTGTCACAACTCCAGTGGCTGATGTCACAGATGTGGTATTTGAATTTGATTTCAGTTGAGTAAATGTACTTAAAACATCAAAGGTTGCGATGTTTTCACGCTAAATTGGGATGCCCTTTCCAATCACTGTCGGCACAGTAGATGTATTTACTATCTAAACATTCTGCAATCCGATTATCAGCTATGGGATGCCCATTTGCAATCACTGTCGGCACAGTAGATATATTTGGTTTAAACACATTTTTATTTCGTCAAAGAAACCTGGATAGGCGAACAAGCGTAGTTGCTTATATAGACGCAACTCCAGTACATTGTTCCAATAGCTGGATACATAATTGAAATAATTTGACAACCAAAAAAAAATACTGTGACAAAATAACAGATATATGACTGAATAATAAAATGGTGTTGGTTATGCCCAGCAACGAAATGAGCAGCCGCAGAAAATAAAGTTATATAAAACTTGCCATACATTGAATATATACGTAGAGTTGATAATTACTGGAAGCGGTTACTTTTAGAAATGCGCCGTTACTGTCTAAAGTAGTTTTCACATCGTATCCTTGAACATATAAATACATCCTTGTTCTTAAATTTTGATAGTTCCGACATAATAGTAGATGTATTTACTATCTGCAATCCCGATTATCTTTCAACAAACTAGTTTTCCCCATAAGATTTTAGTTGGTGCCGTTTTCGACATAAGATTTGTAGCCGTATTCGTCAAGTCGAGGTTCCGTTATGTCCAGTTGGTGCCGTTTTCTCCAGGTGCCGTTTTGCTGTGGTCGGGTGACGTTTTAGCCTGAGCCCTCTGCCTGTCTGTGTACATAATACCAGAGCTACAGATAACTTTTTGGGTCATTGAGTTATATACTCGCTTGTGTTCATCTCAATTGGGTATCCTAATTTTCCTTTGAGTAACCAAATACATTGTACTCATCTCACTCAAACTCAATTGGGTATTTTGCCATTTTCCAATAATTTAAAAATATAATAAAGTTTAAATTTGAGTGTTTTTTATTTATATTTGATCTGTAATATGACAAGCGATAAGAAAAACTGCAAGTTGTCAAGTTCATACATAACCTGAAATAGAACCTCTCAGTACACTTCAGTTACAGTATCTATCCACCGGTACGCATATTAAGATTTGACATTTTTGTGTGTACGCGTGTAAGATCACATTTATTGAGTATTTACAAAAAATTCAAGCGTACTTGTACGCAATAGACTTAATAGGAATTGAGTTTTCACATAAATATTTGCGTAATTTACGCAGATATGCAGCTTATCTGTACCTCTGTAATACATAATGTGACAGAGACCGAACTCGGGTGCACGAGCCATAAGTCAATGCGTTTTGTTTATGGCGTATAGCCTGATAGGTGTTAAGCTCTAATTGCATGTGGTCAGTAATCGAAGTTGCATACTGTCATTAGCAGACACATAGGTGTCAATAAAACAGACATTGAGTTTTGTCTGTGACAGAGGCATATCTATATCACAGTTAGACATTCTGTTATTGCAAAATAATGACATTGATTTTAAGTATCGAACTGAGAAAGTGTCTCGGTAAGAAGAACGTGTTGTGAAATAGACAAATGAAATTATATAAACAGCTGAATCGGTAATCTACTGTCATAACATATAAAAAGCTCGCGCCTGTGAAATATCAACAAAACATTAGTAAAATAGCTCACACCACCAAAGGGCAAAGCCTTCATCGAGTATTCACCGCCAGCGAAGTTTTTCCGTGGAAATGTCGAACGCCTCAATGGTTGACACATAGCTGAGTAGATCTAGAGCCTACCAAGGTTCTTTTATGTAACGAGTAGATTTTATACTATTTGTTTTGATTAGACTACTCCTGTTCACGGCCTTATCATTCGGACATCCCGCTTCCAAGCTGCGCGAACCTATTCACTGCGCATGCGCAATGAGCGCAGTCCAGCACAGCTGTTGAAAGAACTTTTCACCTGAAGCTGGGGTGAAATTAGCGAATCGTTTAAACTTCGATTTCGCGGGGTTTTGTTTCATCGCGTTATGTTTCAACTTTATAAGTTGAATTTGCATTTTTGATGATTTTGTATCTGAAAGTCTATACCGACACATGTCATCATGTCTCAACTGCCTAGAGCGATGCTCATATCAGTCACTGGATTGTCTGGTCCAGCCCGCCATCATATACCCGGAATATTGCTGAGTGCGGCGTTAAACAATAAACAAGCAAAACAACGCCCCTCAAACACAATTCTCCCACAAAGTTTCAGACCTTATCAAAATGTGCGTCAGAGAAAGAAAATATCTAGGGTTAGTTTATTTATGTACAGTGAAACCGCCTAAGTAAAGACCGCTTAACTAAACAGACCTGATAAGTAAACACTTTTCTTTGGTCCCGGCAAATGTCTTAATTAATTATCACTATTAGAGTCTGGTTAACTATATGACCGAAAAACTAAAGGTCACATGCAACCAAAAAATCAAACATAATTAAAACACAATTATCACTTCTTCATGACATATAATATGCATTGCTGATTATGAAAAAACAAATAAACAAAATTATAAGCGTATAATCGCAAATCAAAAGTGCAATATTTTGTACTTGGGTTTACCTCCCTCGAAACGCAGCAGCCGGGATACCGAACCCAGTCAGAGCGGGTGGGTGTGCACTCAAGTGTAACGGCTGGTTCATTAGCAGATGCCGCCTTCACGGCTCATTGTGTGTGTATATATAGAAAGTTGGGTTTTGTAAATACATGCTCATTTTTTGTGTATAACATTTTGCAATTAACATACATCATAACATGTCATGTGTTCAAGTATCACACCTGCCTGTTTGTGTAATTACATAATGTGACAGACACCGAACTCGGGCCATAAATCAATGCGTTTTGTTTATGGTGTATAGCCTGATTGGTGTTAAGTTCAAATTGCATGTGGTCAGTGATCACAGTTGTGTATTGAATATTGTCATTAGCAGACAGGCAGGCAGACACACATGGTGTCAATAAAACAAGACATTGAGTTTTGTCTGTGACAGGGACATATCTATATCACAGTTAGAAATTGTGTCAACTCTAAATAATGACATTGCTTTTAAGTATCGAACTGAGAAAGTGACTCGGTAAGCCTTCAACGAGTATTCACCAGACAGCCCGCTTCCAAGTTTTCGCGAACCTATTTCACTGCGCACGTGCTATGAGCGCAGCCCAGCTGTTGAAACCCGTATTCCCCAGAAAAGTCTAGGAGAAATTAGTGAAACGTTTGAACTCCGATTTCGCGAGTTTGTTTTCATCGCGTTATTTTTCAACTTTATAAGTTGAATTTGCATTTTTGACGCTTTATTTCGGTAAGTCAATACCGAAAGGTATCAGAATCTGCAAAGTTGTGTTTTACGTTGCATGTGACCTTTAAGTCGAAAAAAAACCGAAGAAAACTATTTTCATATAACCGACTGAAACGTTAATCCATGAAGATTGAGTGTGTGAGTGAGCTTAGTTTTAGCCGCTTTGATCAACATTCCAGCAATATCACTGTGGGGGACACCAGAAATGGGCTTCATTGTACCCGTGTGGGAATCGAGCCCGGGTCTTTGGCGTCATTTAACCACTAGGATACCCTACCGCCCCCTTGAACACTGAACAATGAACAGCGGATGACTGTGTTGTTACAGTAACCCTGTGATCTAGCCAGCAGTGTGCGGCAGTGTAACACTTGGCACAGAAAACAGCTGGTCACGACCACAACACCGTGACGTCATCAACAATGTGACGTCACTGTACATTTGGCGCGACGCCAGCTGGCGAACCTCTGCCCAGTCTGAGGTCACAGAGTGCAGCGAGATGTAAACAAACAGTTTGTTGTTGTCTGCCTCACGATTACTGATAAAATTATGACACATAATTAAAACAGAACTACTTTACGAGATGCGGGGTTCATGTACCGACGACATATCATCAATATTTACAGTCAACAATATCCTTACCTGATTCTGTAAAGTTCCATAAACAACAAAATGTCTGAAAATGTTCTCAACAAGTTTTATTTCTCGTCAAACACAACAAATATTCTCACCTTCATACTGAATCATAAACAACGCGACGACGTGAACGGCATGCACAACGTCAGTGTCAGTAACGACATGTCCTCCATCACTGTCTACATCAACACTACATTCACTTCACTGTGTACCACGTGACACCAGGAGATCCGACAGTTGACGATGTCCCACGCCTCTCGCCACGTCGGCCGCTGTCTGCCCGTTGTTGTTCCTGACGTTGACGTCCACCCCGTCCCGAGACAGGACAAACTCCACTGTCTTCCTGTCTCCTCCCGCACAGGCGAAGTGAAGGGTGTTGTCACCGACATCGTCCACCAGTGACACATCAGCACCTCGACTCACAAGGAGCTCCACCATATCCCTGTGTCTCCACCGTGCTGCCCACATCACCGGTGTCCAGCTCCCCCCTCCTCTACTGTTGATGTCCACCCGGTCCAGAGACAGGACAAACTCCACTGTCTTCCTGTCTCCTCTCCAACAGGCCCAGTGAAGGGTGTTGTTACCGTCATCGTCCACCAGTGACACATCAGCACCTCGACTCACAAGGAGCTCCACCATATCCCTGTGTCTCCACCGTGCTGCCCACATCACCGGTGTCCAGCTCCCCCCTCCTCTACTGTTGATGTCCACCCGGTCCAGAGACAGGACAAACTCCACTGTCTTCCTGTCTCCTCTCCAACAGGCCCAGTGAAGGGTGTTGTTACCGTCATCGTCCACCAGTGACACATCAGCACCTCGACTCACAAGGAGCTCCACCACATCCCCGTGTCCCCGCCGTGCTGCCACCATCACCGGTGTGCTGCTCCTCCCTCCTCTACTGTTGACGTCCACCCCGTCCAGAGACAGCACAAACTCCACTGTCTTCCTGTCTCCTCCCAGACAGGCGCAGTGAAGGATGTTCTCACCGCCATCGTCCACCAGTGACACATCAGCACCTCGACTCACAAGGAGCTCCACCACATCCCCGTGTCCCCGCCATGCTGCCTCCATCACCGGTGTCCTCCCGACCCCACCTCTACAGTTGACGTCAGCCCGACCTGTGTCCAGGATCCGCTTCACCTCCGCCAGGTTCCCCTCCCTGCAGGCGTCACGGAGGTCGGCGTCTGCCCGGGCGTCTCTCCGTGCGGGAGTCGGTGTCGCTGTAACACAAAGTAAACTCTGTACACAGGTCGGACATCTTCATCTTACAGCTACATTGTTCACATCTTACACTGATGATACAAAACACTCGATACATCATCTACACATGCAGTATGGCTGACAGCAACATGGCGGGTGTACAGGGAATCACAAGAACTGACAGCAACATGGCGGGTGTACAGGGAATCACAAGAACTGACAGCAACATGGCGGGTGTACAGGGAATCACAAGAACTGACAGCAACATGGCGGGTGTACAGGGAATCACAAGAACTGACAGCAACATGGCGGGTGTAGAGGGAATCACAAGAACTGACAACAACATGGCGGATGTACAGGGAATCACAAGAACTGACAGCAACATGGCGGGTGTACAGGGAATCACAAGAACTGACAGCAACATGGCGGGTGTACAGTGAATCACAAGAACTGGTATTGGTTATTTACATGAATAGAATGTTATCTAACAGTTCTAACACAGTTTTTTGTGTGTGTGTGGAGAGTGGTCTGACCACTACAACACACGTGACATGTCTCCACCCACCTCGTGTGGCAGGTCTGGAGGGGGTTCCATACTTCCGTGTGTCCCTCTCTCTGATCGTGGCTGTGGAGACAAACAGAAGGGTTAAATAAACACCTGATTCATTACATTACATTACATTACATTCTCAGAGTTGTTATCTTGTTTACATTTATCACCGAAGATGTCACACTACAGATATATAAGATAAACATCAATAAGCTGAATGCATGGAGTTAATTTCTATAAAGGGATAGCTTTTACAAGCCACACAACTTTCCGGCAGATCACACCGGGATTGTTTTTAGAAAGGACAAAGCTCTCTGGCAGATCTGATAACCTGATACCATGTATACACAGTGCGACGTGCGACTTTCACATCTGGTACACAATATCCTCCCACCTACCGGGTACATCAGACTTCGGTGTAGGTCCAGGTCTCCGTGCTTCCATCTGGCTCCAGGCTGCAACACACAATATGTCATGTAGAACACTTCAACACAGAATATATGCCATGTAGAACACTTCAACACAGAATATGTCATGTAGAACACTTCAACACAGAATAGGTCATGTAGAACACTTCAACACAGAATATATGCCATGTAGAACACTTCAACACAGAATATATGCCATGTAGAACACTTCAACACAGAATATATGTCATGTAGAAAACTTCAATACAGAATATGTCATGTAGAACATTTCAACACAGAATATATGCCATGTAGAACACTTCAACACAGAATATATGTCATGTAGAAAACTTCAATACAGAATATGTCATGTAGAACACTTCAACACAGGTTCGGCATCTGACTTGGAAATAACTACAACAATACCGGGAGAAATAACTACAACAATACACGTTTGACGTAGAGTGGTATTATTGTGCATAGTAGTATTGTTGAGTATGGTGGTATTATTGTGTATGGTGGTATTGTTGTGTATGGTGGTATTATTGTGTATGGTGGTATTGTTGTGTTTGGTGGCATTATTGTGTATGGTGGTATTGTAGTGTATGGTGGTATTATTGTGTATGATGGTATAGTTGGGTATGGTGGTATTAGATGGTCATGAGGGATGGTTCTTAATTCTTAATTATTGTGTATGGTGGTATTACTGTGTATGGTGGTATTATTGTGTATGGTGGTATTGTTGTGTATGGTGGTATTATTGTGTATGGTGGTATTGTTGTGTATGGTGGTATTGTTGTGTATAGTGGTATTATTGTGTAAGGTGGTACAGTTGTGTATGGTGGTATTGTTGTGTAAGGTAATATAGTTGTGTATGGTGGTATTGTTGTGTATGGTGGTATTATTGTGTAAGGTGATACAGTTGTGTATGGTGGTATTATTGCGTAAGGTGGTATAGTTGTGTATAGTGGCATTATTGTGTATGGTGGTATTGTTGTGTATAGTGGTATTATTGTGTAAGGTGGTACAGTTGTGTATGGTGGTATTTTTGTGTAAGGTGGTACAGTTGTGTATGGTGGTATTGTTGTGTATAGTGGTATTTTTGTGTAAGGTGGTATAGTTGTGTATGGTGGCATTATTGTGTAAGGTGGTATAGTTGGGTATGGTGGTATTATTGTGTAAGGTGGTATAGTTGGGTATGGTGGTATTATTGTGTATGGTGGTATTAGATGGTCATGAGGGATGGTTCTTAATTCTTTGTGCCTCAAGGCTGCAACATTTTTGTTGTTTCATAACCTGTGATTCTCATCGATTCAGATTGTTAAGTTAAAAACATATTGTAAGGGTATTTGTTAAGAAAGACCTATAAAAAGAAAATATGTATGTTCCGGAGTCATTTCTTTCTAACAAATTCTCCTGAAATGACATCATACATCAACTTATATACATGTATTATGTTGTACGCTACCTTGGCTATCTGCCTTCTTCCCCGTGACAGGACCTGGAAATAAAACAAAACAAACATCCAATCAGCTGTCAATTATGTTTATTATGTGTATGACATATCGTTCCCATCTCCTGTCAATCTCCCCTGACAACGACGCTTACATCTGGGAGTGAGTGGGTTCGATTCTGGTAGAATGGTGTTGGTGAACTCAGAGGTTTAGTACTTATGTACTTGTCAGAATATTGTCGTTTTGTTTTACATACAGCGGGTAAATGAACATGGTTCACGTGCATTTTCCAGGACGTTCATTGACTGTTTGTTAGGAACAGTGTTATTATTTACAAATAGAGCGACGAAGATCCAACTGACTCGACTATGGTTTCATGTGACTTAACCTGAATATCAAAAAAATTCATACACACAAAAACAGGGACAACCATGTAGGAAAATTACTCGGGACTTGGATTTATTCTATGACATACCTCGAGACCACATTTCAAACAAGTGGTTGTTGAAAAACATTCAGCAAAACCATTTTAATACTAAACAGAAGATTACTCTAAAATTATCCTAATTTTTAGCCTTCTCAATTTGGCCGATAAAAGTTGAACGCCAAGTTGAAATTTGCCTTTATCGTAAATATTATAATAGTATATGTTCACAAACACAAACAAAACCCTGGACATCAATATTGAGTAGTAACCTCATCTGTGACATACACACAGACCAGTTATATACGGACTCGTGACGTAATTTCCATAGACTTACATGTTATTTTAGTGTAGCATAAATAATTTTCATGAAGTGAGTTTAGGATAGATCTTTGTAAAATGTGACAGGCAAATTTGAAATTATCTCTGCTCTGCGCACATAATTTATCAACTTACGTATGGTTCCACAATGCACAATCCCATAGGCCGCCATGTTAAAGGAGTTAACGGCATTAATATGTTGATTAAATTGTTGTCATTCGATAAATAAGCAACGGAAAATTAAACCGAAATTATGTGATTGTAAGTAAGACGATTCCTCACAAATGTGCAAAAGCTAACTTGGATCTTATGAAAATTATATTCATGAAAATTAATTATGCTACACTAAATTAACATGTAAGTGTAAAGGAATTACATCAAGTCGCTGAATATAACTGCCACGGATCTGTACCTCGAGACCACATTGCAAACATGTGGTTGTTTTCGTTGTCGTAATTTATGGACTTGTCAGTTGATACATATCTGGCCGATAAACAACACCAAGATGAAATTTGCTGTTATCGTAAATATTACAAGATTCAGTGTTTGCTACATTGAGCTGTGGTGGTGTGAACTTCCATATGTCTACATTTGCATGAATCAAGGTTTTAAAACTGTAAATATCATTGGCTTGCCAACCAGACCAGCTAATACATCTATTTACAAGTTGTATGTCGTGTCCTGTAAATCAGATATTGCTACGTTCAACAAAGTAACGACATTCACTCTCGGCTGCTACAACAGTTACCAGTCAGTGTACAAAACATGCACACGTTAATTATTTTTGCCCTGTTTGTACAATGTAAATGCAGCATTCTAAGCATATTTTATTTCTGAAGTTTATGAACAGAGCACCTTGTAGGAAGGTAATGGTGGCGGCTGTACACTGGTGTCAGTAGTTTCTCAGATCATGAAATCTTTTGTATGGTCTTCACAGTAGCATTATTATAGAACCAAGTCAGATGACAATGTCACATCATAGGTGTACATTGATCATCATAGATCTGCATGTCCATGTGATTCCTATCAGGAAGATCTTGTAACTTCTGTACATTAAGTTATGGAGAGTATCTAGGATACGGAGAACGGAAACTACATCTAGAGGCTGTCGTTATTGTTCACCCAGGCACACAACGATAGCATACTTGTACACATACAAGTACATACATAACGTCTACATACAAATATAGGAACGACATACATTTGCCACGAACTATCTCCTCGACACAAACTTTCTACAGTATTTTGTACTGTACACATTAACCCACCATGCACAAAGACTGAAAGAGCTTTGTATCTATTCACATTTTAACAAAGCAAGTACCTGCTGCCTAATCCCTACAGTAGTCGTTGTCCATCGTGCTCTGTTCACAACCTTATCTACTGGTTCTAACAATACAAAATATAGAGATAAACAAACTTACCCCGCTACCGTCCTCACACAACACACGCATCTCACTGTCAACCTGGAAATGTCCTGACTAGCGACACTGGTCGCGCTAAGCTGCGAGTTATGACGTCATTGTGACGTGTCATGTGAGGAGCAACACCGAGTTTGGCGCTGGATTGCTTGTGGTATGTTCAACCGGGCAACCCGCCACACTAATAAAGAGACACCCCCACCCCTTCCCCATCCAGCCACGCCTCCCTATTTCATGCACGGTGGGGTGAAACCTGCCCGACTTACAACAACAGTCAACATTAACTATGGTCCGTCATCATGTACTACACGGTGGGGTGAAACCTACCCGACTTACAACAACAGTCAACATTAACTATGGTCCGTCATCATGTACTACACGGTGGGGTGAAACCTGCCCGACATACAACAATAGTCAACATTAACTATGGTCCGTCATCATGTACTACACGGTAGGGTGAAACCTGCCCGACTTACAACAACAGTCAACATTAACTATGGTCCGTCATCATGTACTACACGGTGGGGTGAAACCTGCCCGACTTACAACAACAGTCAACATTAACTATGGTCCGTCATCATGTACTACACGGTGGGGTGAAACCTGCCCGACATACAACAATAGTCAACATTAACTATGGTCCGTCATCATGTACTACACGGTAGGGTGAAACCTGCCCGACTTACAACAACAGTCAACATTAACTATGGTCCGTCATCATGTACTACACGGTGGGGTGAAACCTGCCCGACTTACAACAACAGTCAACATTAACTATGGTCCGTCATCATGTACTACACGGTGGGGTGAAACCTGCCCGACTTACAACAACAGTCAACATTAACTATGGTCCGTCATCATGTACTACACGGTGGGGTGAAACCTGCCCGACATACAACAATAGTCAACATTAACTATGGTCCGTCATCATGTACTACACGGTAGGGTGAAACCTGCCCGACTTACAACAACAGTCAACATTAACTATGGTCCGTCATCATGTACTACACGGTGGGGTGAAACCTGCCCGACTTACAACAACAGTCAACATTAACTATGGTCCGTCATCATGTACTACACGGTGGGGTGAAACCTACCCGACTTACAACAACAGTCAACATTAACTATGGTCCGTCATCATGTACTACACGGTGGGGTGAAACCTACCCGACTTACAACAACAGTCAACATTAACTATGGTCCGTCATCATGTACTACACGGTGCTGGAGATATAAATAAGTAGCGAGATCAAAGGAACCGCCGGCCTCGATGTTCCACATTCACACGACAACAGATGCACTGTAGATAATCAGTGTATGAACTAAGGCCCGTCCGACCGCCCGAGACGTTCCAGATTTCTGCCGGACGGTCTAATTTTACAGCTAGCCAGCCCGATGGACGGGTGAAAAAATATATATTGGTAACGTGTCCACAGGCACTGTCTATTTAGTATATAAGTACTGGTTAAATCTCTTCTGGGCTGGTAAGTTTTTGAATTTACCAGCCCAGATGTCTGGCAGGGGTTTTGGCTTATTTCATACACTGCGTATATGCACTGAATTATAGTAATGCGGCTTCACGTGGTGTCTATTTAACTACTGAGGTCTCAGGGTTATTCGAGATGCCTAGATACATCTATATAACAATTATCACCAAAACTTACAGTGATTACTATTTGTAATTTTAACACAGAATCATATAACTTTGACGTCAGAACAGTTTCATCCCTGTACAATACGAGTTTTAGAAAAAATCTCTTCGATGAAAATCAGTTAAGCTGTGCCTTCAATATAATGTGGACATTATTACCTGAATCACATGGAGTGAGTGAGTGAGTTTAGTTTTACGCCGCACTCAGCAGTATCCCAGCTATATGGGAATCACATGGAGCAAAGGTTATGGTAAAACTGTTCTCTGTTATCAAAAGTCGTATTGATTTATCACCAAATGTACGTCCTCTTACATTCAACACACACTGACTCGTGGTGCTCACGATGTACAAAACCTACCAACAATCATTATGTAACAACACAGATGTATTTGATGCTCTCGATAATGCTCCTGATATCAATCACAGGATTGTCTGTTCAAGACTCCATCATTAGCGCGACGTACACATTCAAAAACATTACCTGAAGATCCTGTTTAGAACTGGTCTTAAGTAACCAATGCTTGTCGTAAGAGGCGACTAACGGGATCGGGTGGTCAGGCTTGCTGGCTTAGTTGACACATGTCATCGTATCCCAATTGGGTAGATGGATGCTCATGCTGTTGATCACTGGGTTGTATGGTCCAGACTCCAATATTTACAGACCGAAGCCACATAGCTGGAATATTGTGGCTGAGTGCGGCGTTAAACATCATCCAAACCCAAACTAATTTTGCAACACTGATTCTTTCCCCAACTGAACAGCAACACATGAGAGTTGACACATAACATTCTGAAACGTTAATGACTGGAGCCCAAATTCAAATGTGTATTCGACACCTTGTTTCTTTTAATTTGATTCCTTTGTATACACATACGTCCGTGCATAAAATAAGCACCACCCTGTAATTTTACCAATTAATTTTGCCTGAAATGAAATTGTAAAATCTTTACAAACAATAACCTTTATCATTTGATAGAGCAGGCATTTAACATTTCAAAAACGAAAACATCATTGAAATTACCATGTACTTTAATTAGGATAATTGCCTTTATTTAAAACAGGTGTTTTTCTGTCCTAAAACAAGTTACCTTATTTTGAAAAGTGAAAGTAATAATTGATTGTTGTGTGGCCTATAAATTCGTTATTTATTTTGAATGGATGAAAGTTTGTAAACTAAGATTGAGGAGAAGTTACAGTCAAACTAAAAAGTAGAATTTCAAAATGCAGT